TGAGGGAGGCCGCCGGGCCGGGCAGGGAGCGGGCCCCGGGCCTCGGTGGGCGCCCCGGGGCCCTTGCTGAGCCCCCTCTTTGCTTCGGCAGCTGGTAGAGGACGAGGACGTGCGCGGGGTGATCACCATGAACGAGGAGTACGAGACTAGATTCCTGTGCAACACCTCGAAGGTGAGGATGGGGCCCCGCCAGCCTGGCCCAGTATTCGGGCCTGTGAAAGCTGGAGACGTTAGACGAGGAGGGACGCTGCGGGTAACTGTGTCTCAGACGGTGTCAGGGACCTCGTTGCCCTTTCAAGCATTGAGTATGCGAATCAAGTTAATGGCTGCTGGTGGAAAGCAGCCAAAGTTGATAGGCCAGAACGAAGTCGAGCCTGTAGCTCTGGCGACTCAGGTGACTGAGGCAGTATCTTTTGAGCCCTGGAGTTCAAAAGGGCCCTGGGCACTGTCTGAAAAAGAGAGTGGAGCAAGCTAACTCGGTGGGGGCGGCTCACTGCTGGAATTCCAGCTCTCATAGACAAGAGGACAGATCGCTGGAAGTTACAGGCTAGTTACTTCCTCGCCACACAGATCACAAGGAAGCGCTTCAAAATCAGAACCAGGGGTGCAATTCTTTATGCATAAAATTGTACGTGTATATGTTAGTTTTATTTTGTTGTTTGTTTTGAGACAGGGTCTTAAATCTATGATGAACTCTAATTATCCTGCCTCCACTTCCCAAGTACTGAGATTACAGGCATGTGCTAATACACCCAGCCTTGTATTTGTAATTTTGGTCACTAACCTCAGTAACTAAAATTGTGTTTTATGTGCCTTTCATTCATTCTCATTCAACATTTACTTAAGCACCAAGTATGAATTAGGCAATGTGTTAGCTTTGAAGATGTAGGCCTACTCTAAGAAAAGAACCTCCTTAAGAGAGGGTCTGATTTAGCTGGTGGGTGGTGGTGGTGCACACCCTTAATCCCAACACTCTGGAGACAGAGGCAAGGGGATCTCTGAGTTCAAAGCCAGACTGGTCTACAGAGTGAGTTCCAGGGCATCCAGGGCAACACAGAGAAACCCTGTCTCTAAAAAACAGAAAAAAAAAACAAAAAGAAGAAGCGATGTGATTCATACCTGTGATATTAGCACTCTGTATACGGGTGGGAGGATCAAGAACTCGAGTTCAACGTGGGCTACATGAGCCTATGCCTAAAAAAATTACACAAATAAGGAAAGCACACCCCCAGGCACAGTGGTATACATTTAATCCCAGCACTTGGGGGGCAGTGGCAGATGAATACATGAGTTCGAGGCCAGTCTGTTCTATGGAGTGAATTACAGGACAGCCAGGGCTATGCAGAGAAACCCTGTGTCCAAAAACAAAACCAAAACAAACAAAAAAACCTTTAAGCCGGGCAGTGGTGGCACATGCCTTTATCCCAGCACTCAGGAGGCAGAGGCAGGCGGATCTCTGTGAGCTCGAGGCCAACCTGGGCTACTAGAGCTAGTGCCAGGACAGGCTCCAAAGCTACAGAGAAACCCTGTCTCAAAAAAAAAAAAAAACAAAGCAAAAAAACTTTTTTTTTTTTTAAAGAGCACTCTTTATTATATATACTATGTCGATAAGTTATCTTTGGAAAACTGCAGGGTGGGCTGGGGATAGATTTCAGCTGGTAAATGCCTGCCCAGTTTGGAATACAGACCAGGTATAGTGGTGCCCCGGGGGTGATCCTGTAATCCCATCACAGGAGGAAGAAGCAAGAGGATCACCTGGGCCACATATGAGTTCGAGACTAACTTTTCTTTTCTGGAAAAAAAAAAAAAAAGGCGGGGGGAACACACGAAAGAGCATGTCACTGTTCCTTGAATTTCCCCAAGTACTGTCACAAGATCTCAAGGGGTCATTAGCTATAGGAATCTTCACTAATGTGACAGTTGTATAAAGCAAGGCGTCACCGAAGTTACACAGACAATGCTTGGTCTCAGTCAGTGTGAGGCACTGTCGCTTGTAAGATGGAGCTAGCTCCCACCAGCCTAGAGCTAGAACTGTCCAAGGCAGCGGTGGCATTTTAATATGTCTAAGGGTCTTCTGGCAGCCCTGCTAAATAACAATTTCCCATCTCCAGCCCCATATATTGTGACTCAGGACTCTGAGATCAGGAGTCTGAGGATTTAACAGCTCTGAAAGTGGTTCTGGTTCGATTGATGTACAAGCAAAAATGTACTTTCAGGTTTTGTTAATTTGATTGGTGGGATTAACTGGCCTTCATGCACTCAAGTTGCAGGGGCTTACTAAAAGTAGCAAGAAACTAGGCATGGAGGTGCACACCTGTCGTGTTAGCGATTGGCAGGTGGAGGCAGGAGCACCAGCTCACAGGCATCTTTGACTACTTAGCGAGAATTGAGATCCAACCACCAAAACAAAGAACTTAGTAAGTAGCTAGAGTGTATTTTAAGTGTTAAACCAAAAATACAGTTGTCTAATGTGGCAAAGGCTTTATTTCATTTCTCTAGTTACTTAATAATATTACACAAAGGCAGGTAGGTGTCTTTTGTTTGTTTTATGGGATGGAGGGAGAGTGAGCCTTGACCCTCCTGCTCTAGTCATCCTAGCGGTGGGACATTAGGCATAAGTCACCATTCCTGTCTAAAATGTGGTTTTAATTATAAGATGACCCTTTTTTTTTTTTAACTATGTACTCCTTAAAAAATGATAAAAAGATTTATGCACTTATGGCAAAATACATTATCCTTGCCTACAATGGGGTCACTGTATAGGTCCCAATAAGGCTAAAACATAGCTTAATAATATTATTTTAAGTGGTATTGGGAATCTCAGGGTTTCATTTGCCAGGCAGTTCACCACTGAACTATATCCTCTGCCCCATAACTTCTGCATAGCTCTGACTGTTCAGCAACTCACTCTGTAGTCTAAGCTGGCCTCAAATTCAGAGATCACCTGCCTCTTCCTCCTGATTGCTGAGACTAAAGGTGTGTGCCACTACTGCCAGCCAAAAGTAGGCTCTTTTCAAGGCATTTCTGTTATAGGAAAGAGTCACATTGTAGTAAACCCTGGAACTTGCTTGCTGTTTTGTTGCTCGGGGACCCTCTCCAAACCTTTCACCTCACACCTCTTTGATTTCCCTTCCTGTGCTGGTGGAGCTGCTTTTAGGAATGGAAGCAAGCAGGAGTTGAACAGCTACGGCTCAGCACAGTTGACATGACTGGGGTCCCCACGCTGGCCAATCTCCACAGAGGAGTCCAGTTCGTTCTCAAGTACCAGTCACTGGGACAGTGTGTCTACGTGCATTGTAAGGCTGGGCGATCCAGAAGCGCCACAATGGTGGCAGCATACCTTATTCAGGTAGGAGAAGGGTCCCTTGCACCCTTGCGTGGTTCAGTAGCATGCTTTACTGGCAGGTCTTACTGCAAAGAACTGTTACCTGTTTCCAGGCTGATGGAAGGTAGTGTGCCATCATGCCGAACATCCAAGCTTTCTGCTTGCTTCTGGCTCTGCCCTTACTAATTAGGATAGATAAACGTGGATTCTCCTCTCTGATGCTGTTTCCTTTGTTTAAATGTGACAGGAAACTGAGAAATGAGAAGGTATGTCAAAGTGCTTGCCTACAGCAGGGCCCCCCCCCCCCCCCAAAAAATGGGAAGTGGCGCACGCCTTTACCTTTAATCCCAGCACTCGGATCTCGGTGAGTTCAAGGCCAGCCTGGTCTACAAAGCGAGTTCCAGGACAGGCCCCAAAGCTATAGAGAAACCCCGTCTTGAAAAAAATAAAACAAGCAAACAAACAAAAGTTATCAACACAGCAGAAGACTGGAAAGTTACTTTTTGTTTGTTTGAGATCATGTGAGATAATGTTATGAGCCCTGACTGACTGTGAATTCACTATGGATATTAGACTGGTGCCCATGCAAATGAAACTTGCAACAATCCTCCTGCCTCAGCCTCCTGAGTGCCAGGATTACAGGCACGCACCCTACCTGATCCAAATATTTGCTTTAAATTGGCAGGGGCTAGCTCAACACTTGCTTTAAATAGCATAGCAGGGGCTAGCTCAATTGGTAGAGCCTAGTGTGCAGGAGGCCATGGGTTTGATCCCTAACACTGCATAAAACTGAGTGTGGTGACTGACCCACACCTATAATCCTAGCATTGGGAGATGAGGTAGAAGGATGAACTTGAGTGACATCCTCAGCTACAGGGCTATTATAAACAGCAGGTCTGAAAACCTTGTGTTACAGACACTAGTGCTTCTAGCTCTGGTATTTCAGGGTAGAGCCCTGAACATTAGTTTTTATTGTTTAATATTTACTTAGTGTGTACACAACTTTGCTCAGTGGTAGAATGGCTGCCCAGCATGTGTGAGGCCCTGATTTTATTCCCTGATACTGGAAAAAAAATTATTGATTGGCAATCAGGATGCTTTAAAAAATATTTAGAATCAAATGTTTTATAGTCCTTTATCATTCCCTGCCATCTTTCCCTTTCCAGCTTGACCCATTTGCGTTTAGTCTGGTTCTTTCATAGTACTTCCAGTCAAGTGAGTAGTTTAAAGAAATCCAATCATTAGCATAACCCTGTTAATGTGGACTATATGTCCACATTATGATTATACTATACCTTTCATTATAACCATATAAAGGTTCTGCTGGAAGCTGGGTGGTAGAGGATCTCTGCGAGTCTAAGGCCACACCGCTCTCTGCAGTATGGGTTTCAGGTTAACCAGGAATATAATGAGACTGTCTCAAAGAACGACCAGTGATCTCAGGAGATTATTTGGGTCCAGATGAGAACTGACCCAGCAGGCTGTTGAGTTCTAAATCAGTGTGTAACCTTACAACACAAAGGTAACCCTCCTAAATTGAAGAAGTACTCATTTTTTTAGTTATGGTGAATTTCAGAAAAACATCTGCCATGTGGTTTTAAAAATTCATTTTTGCGTGTCTGTGTCAGTCTCACGTAGTCCAGGCTGACCTCAGTCAGTTATGACAGTGAGGATGTCCTTGGACTTCCATCCTGTCTCCCCTCCCTCACGTGTGTTTCAAGGCACTCAGTGTATGTGGTCCTGGGGCTTGAGTCCAGTGTTCCATTCAGGGCTGGTGACCACTGCACCACCGAGCTTCATCCCCAGCCTACTTCTAGACATTCTTATTAAAATTGCAGCTCAAAAAGGACACAGTAGACCTAAGAAATCTGGGGTCTCAGCTTCATGGATTCACCTTGTTTTCACTATTTGACAAGGTAGAAAAGAACAGGGTTGTAGGATTGGCTGACTGAAGTAGATAGATGTGCTCTCATGGAGCATGTCCTCATCTCTGGCCTCAAACTCTGGCTCTCCTGTGCTCATGGGATCCTCCAGCACTCCATACCCAGCAAAGGAACTTTTTTCTTTTCTTTTTTTAAGTCCTGGACATTAAACCCAAGAGATTTAAGCATGTTAACCAAATGCTCTATCATTAAGCTATATTCCTGGTTCTCTTTTACTAAAACATGGTTTCACTAAGTCATCTGGGGTAGCGTAGAACTCTAACTTAGACAAACTTTGAAGTTGTGGTCCTCCTGCCTTAACCTCCTGGGTAACTGGGCTTAAAGGCCTGAACTTCTCAGCCTAGCTGGAGCATACTTTTCAAAGCCATCTAATATGGAGTCTTCATTTACTTGAAAAAAATTTTAATTATTTTTTTTCTGAGACAGGGTTTCTCAGCGTAACAGTCGTAGCTGTCCTGGAACTCACTTTGTTCCAGGCTGGCCTCGAACTCAGAGAGATCCGCCTGCCTCTACCTCTCAAGAGGTGAGATTAAAGGTGTGTGCTACCACTGCCCAGCTGAAAAAAAATTACATATTAATTTTATTTATATATGCAAATCTGTGTGGTCATGCCTATTCCATAGCAGCCACATGGAGGCCAGAGGACAACTTGCAGAAGTTATTTCTCATTTTACTGTGTGAATTCCTGGAACCAAACTCTGGTTATGGTTGTCAGGCCTGGCAGCAAGTATTTTTACCCCGTGAGCTACCTTGCTAGCCCAAGTCTTCTTAAAAATTAATTCTGAGAGTCCTTCAGCACCTGCTCATAGGCCAACACCGTTATACCTGCCCCTTCCTTTCTCATTTTCTCACCTTGTACTTCAGGTGCACAACTGGAGCCCAGAGGAAGCTATAGAAGCTATCTCCAAAATCCGGTCACACATCTCCATCAGACCTAACCAGCTGCAAATCCTCAAAGAGTTTCAGAAGGAGATCGCTGCAAGGGCAGCGAAGAATAACTGATGGCATCGCTCATACTGGCATATCAAGAATATGAAGGCTGTGGATGACGAAAAACTTGGCTCTTCCCAAGTGAAAAGTTTAAAGGACAAGGGGGCTTAAGCTAGGACAACATCCCAAATATGCTGAGTAACAGATAATGTGCCTCCTCTGCCTTCCCTCCCTGAAATAACACTGTTGGATGGCTACAGAGAACAAGATTGTCTGGCTAAATCTTATTTTCTTCAACAGGGTCAAGGAAATGGTAATTTTAACAGAAATCTATTGTGCATCTGATATTTTGTGTAATGACACCATAACAAAGACGTTTAATGCTAGAAAAGGCAAGAATAAATACTCAGATCTGTTCTTTGTTACTGTCAGGATCCCAATTTCAATTGTATAATTGAAAATGGGCAAAATGCTTGCCCAGCATGTCCTAGCACTTCTAAGAGTAAAAATAATCCTAATTTCCCTGACCCTGTGGGCCTCCCCTCTAAACAGATGTATGGGGTGCAGGCAAGACCACTGACTCAGGAATGTCTGAATGTAGCATTAGTTCCCTTCAGGAGTCAACACAGACACACATATCACTTCAAAAACTTTTATTTGTATGAACAGTTCCTAACTCTTGATTTAGCTTGGAGCTTTTAAAAGACCAGAGATAGCTTATATTTGAGTTTGGAAAACAGTTTCTGCTATTAATCAGAAATAACTGTTTCTACTTTCTGGCTTATCTGTTTCTATAAGCCAAAAATCAAACCAAAGTTTCCTTCCTGACAGATGAGAAAACATTAGAAGGAGCGTCCTGAATTCTAGAGTTGCTTCTTGCTGGTGAAGTACATTTTTAGCTTAATCCATTATCCCCTCCAAATCCTGAAAGAAAACTCTCAATACTTAATTCTTTGTGGAAAAGTGACAGCTAGTCACTTTGATGGCTGTAGACAAACAGGAATGGGCCTCTTTCTTCCTGCATAGGAACCAAGGCGCTTCTATTAACACTGATCTGATAAGGGGAGGTTATGCCGAAGTCTGAAAAAAGGCTGACTCTAAGCAGTCTGAAGTGAGGCACGGGATCAGAGGGGATCATGGCAGAGTTGAAGCAACCACCTGAACAGCTGTAGTGCGAAAAGCCTTAGCTAAACAGAGCCCCACATGAGCCTGGGGATGGGCTGAGGCTCTGCCTTCCTCATCTATACCAAACTAACACATTACTCTGAACTGGGGGAATTTCAGATTTGACTGGGGATGCACAGAAGAGGGGAGGGCAAAGGACTCAGCTGTTGCTCCCATTACTATCTCAGGCCAACACAAACTGCAAATTGGTAAGCAGCACCTTAATGCCTCTTGTGACAGTTACAGCTGAAGTAGCAGGGTCTAGCTTATAGGTGTTGGCATCTCCCTTCTTATATCGATCCCTGAAGACGTAGATGCTTCCATTACAGCTAGCAATCTTCCAGAGGGATGGGGCAGAGCTCCAGGCCTCGGGAAGACAGAGCCGAGTGAAACTGTCTAGAAGGGGATTATAGCACACCAGAGAGTCCCCCTCAGCTACAATGAACACCAGATCTTTATGTACAGCTGCATGCATGCGGCCTGCAAAGGGCAATACATAGGGCTTCACGTGGCACTTGTCAGTCTCTGTGTCAAAGCACTGGATAAGTCGGGAAGGTTTGGTAAAGAAGTCTAGATCATTCTCTTCGCCCCCTAGTAAGTAGATGATTCCATTGAGGTTGGCACCAGCAGCCCCAGATACAGCCACCTCTAATTGAGTTGTTTCTGTCCACACATTATCACCTACCCGATAGTAGATGACTGCATTGGAGAGGGTATCCTGAAGTGTCTTGCCACCCAGTGAATATATGGCATCTTTCCCAGGCACAGATACCAGAGTATGCTGGAGGCGGTCCCGGGGCAAAGGAGCGCACCACTCCCAGTCAATGGTGGCATTGTTGCATTTCCACATGCGTCGTGGGATAGACCCTCCCACTACATACAAGTCTCCACCATGCTTGCAGGCTGCAGTGATTTGGTGGCATAAGCTGTTTTGGCCACTTACACTGATGGAGTCATCTTCTGCACAGTGCAAGGACACGGCCAACGAATGGGTGCGAGATGACTCTTTCCCGATAAGGTAAATGTGCACATTCTCCCCAATTTCCTGTTGGCAAAATTGAAATCCTGACATCACCTAATGTGAAGACTGCTAAGACAGGTATAGCCTCACACTCACATCTTGCTCTGACCTCCTCTCCAGTTAGTCGTCATCATCCCGACTTTTTTCTAATTACTTTCTTCTAAGCATTTTATGCAGGGGCAGAGAATCTGTTTTGGTTATCCCTACGATTCAGTTTATTTATTTATTCAAATAAGATCTTGGTATGTAGCACAAAGTGCTCATTCTTAGATCCTCCTGCTTCAGCCTTCAAGGGGATCACAGGTATGGACCACATCTACTCTTACTGCTCTTTTGTTTTTCAGTGTTGGGAATTAAACCCAGGACTTTATGATATAAGGCAAGCATCCTAGAAACTGAACTATATCCCTGCTTTTTTTTATATATATTATTAATGCTATTCTTTTTTCCTTTTTCTCCCAAGACAGAGTTTCTTTCCTTAGTCCTGGCTGTCCTGGAACTAGCTCTGTAGACCACGCTGGCCTTACTCAAGAGATCTGCATGACTCTGCCTCGCAAGTGCTGGGATTAAGGGTTTGTGCCACTGCTGTGCAAACTGACACAGGGTCTTATCGAGGCTACTAACTATGTAGCTGAGGCTGATCCTCCTGCCCTCATGTCCACCTCCCACGTGTTGAGCCAGTGCATCTAGCTAGAACTGCTGACTCAATGAAGAAAACAGATCTTGAAGATAGAATCAAACCACACAGTGGTGGTTAATCCTAGCACTCGGGAAGCAGAAGTTCGAGGTCAGTCTGGTCTACAAAACGAGTTCCAGAACAGATAGGGATGTTAACACCCTGTCTCTAAAAACAAAAAGAAGATAGCATTAGAGAAGACAGTAAAGGCTCTGTGAGTTTCAAAGCTCATAGACTGTTATCTTCTGGGGTCAGCAAACACATCCGACTTGCTTACTTCAAGCCGGTGACTAATCAGTAACTATCAAAAGAGGCTGGATCAGCGGCTTGGAAGATGGCTTAGGTGGGTAAGGGCACTTGCTGTACAAACATGAGGATCTGAGTTTGATCCTTGTGGCCTATGGAATGGAAGGAGAGAACTGACTTCTTTAAATTGTCCTCTGACCCCCACACATACACCAAGAGATACACATTCTCCCCTGCCAAAAAGAAAAAAGACAAAAAAGGCCACTAAGGGCTGAAATTATGAAATAATTAAGAAATTATGGCACCCCCAATCCTTAGGAAATACACCTCACCTTCAAGCTACTCCTGAGTGACTCTGCAAAAGCCTCTCTTTCTTCTTTATTGAAATTGATCCAGGCTTCTATTGCCTCGGTTGGGTTCTGGGAGCACGGAACCCCATCTGTGAAAGCCAAAGGAAAAGCATGGTCAACGACAATATTACTGGGTTTCATTTTATTTTATATGCATTGGTGTTTTGTCTGTATGTATGTGTTAAGGTATCAGAAGCCCTAGAACTGGAGTTACAGACAATTGTGAGCTGCCACGTGGGTGCTGGGAATTGAACTTGGGTTCTTCAGAAGAGCAGCCAATGCTCTTAACTACTGAGCCATATGTCCAAGCTCATGTTTTCATGGGTTTTTTTTCCATGTATGAATGCTTTGCCTGCACATGTTTGTGCACCACATGCAGGTTTGGTGTTCATGACCATCAGAAGATGGCATCAGATGCCCTGGAACTGGAGTTACTGATAGTTGTAAGCCACCATGTGGATTCTGAAAATTGAACCCTGGTCCTCTAAAAGAGTAATAAGTACAAGGGCAACAAGTACTCTTAACTGCTGAGCCATCCATCCAGCCTCACCAATAACATTCTTAATGGGTTCTCAAGAGGAACCACAGCCAGTAGTAGTCATGCATGCCTCTAATCCTCATTGTATGATGTTAAGCCCTTTGGGAGGCCCTCCATGCAGCTCCCACTTAAATCATACACAGAGGCTTATTCTTAGTTATGAATTGCCTGGCCTTAGCTTGGCTTGTTTCTTGCCAGCATTTCTTAACCTAAATTATCCCAACTACCTTTTGCCTCTGGGCTTTTATCTATTTCTGTATACTTTCTTTACTTCTTTCTCCATGGCTTGCTGTATAGCTGGTTGGCTGGTCCCTGATGTCTTCCTCTCCTCGTTCTCTTGCTCCTCCTTCTCCTAAGTTCTTGTATTTATACTCTCTGCCTGCCAGCCCTGCCTATCCTTGCTTCTGCTTTGCTATTGGCTGTTCAGCTCTTCATTAGGACCATCAGGTGTTTTAGACAGGCACAGTAACACAGCTTCACAGAGTTAAACAAATGCAGCGCAACAAAAATCACACACCTGAAAATAATATTCCCCAACATAGGTCCCAAAGAGGGCAATCCCTTCATAAAAGGGGGGAGGGGAGCAGTATCACAGCAAAGCCAGCAAGTGACAGTCAGATCAGGTTTAGTGGTTTTCAGGACTAGGTATGAGTGGTCGAGGAGTGTCAGGAGTGGGTCTTCTGTCTAGAATGAGTTAGCCTGGGGGTCCAGGGTCACTGCAAGGGTGGATGAGCTGAGCAGGGTCTCCGGGGGCTGTGCAGTGGTCGGGCGTGGGGTGCTTGGCTTGAATGCGGGTGCAGGGGGATTAATAACCTGGTTGGGGCCTATCATAGCTCTGAGGGGTGACTGGATTCTGTAGATGGTGAAAGTAAATCCCGGATCATGGCCTCTACAGTAAAGCCGTGAACTCCAAGCCATACTGGCGGTCCAGTCAGCCTTTGCCCACCTCCAGCAGTCAGTCGCCCAGGGGTGATTGGGGAACCACAGGTGACTCGGCTGCTACCCACTGCTCTCATGCCCCCTGCCCGCTGAACAGTGACAAGGGTGTGTATGTGTGTGTGGGGGACCAGTTAATCCACCTAGTGGACTCACATTCCCTACTGGCACAATAGGCATCCCCCCACCCACCGCATTTGTTTTGTTGAGCCCTGGAGTGGGAGTGAGCAGAATAGACAAAGAACCCGAGGAACCTGGTGTTCCCATGCCCCCCAAGGGAGTTGCACCATACCCAACCTCGACCACCAACCAATGAAAGGAAAAAGGACTGAGCACGCTTCTTGTCTGTGCTTATAGTACCTCAGACCACGCACTAATGGACTGGTATCTAAAAGACTATTGGCTGAATGAAGTCTCACAACAAATCTTAGCACTTGGGAAGTGGAGGCAGAGAGATCTCTGTGAGTTCAAGGCCAGCCTAGTCTACAAGGCGAGTTAAAGGACAGCTATGGCTATGCAAATGGACCGTGTCTCAAAAATTCAAAAAAACACTTGAGCCACTTTATTAGACCACCATTATATGTATTTTTATGGATGTATCCAATTACATATATATGAAATTAACTTGAAATTGCCCCACCACTAACATTCTGCAGTGCTGTGATCAAACCTAAGGACTCAAGCTCACCAGATAATGCTCTGTGAACGGGTTACACCACTAGCCCTGCCTTGCTTTGTAAAAGAATGTAGATGGCATAGTATGCTCCCATATGCCACAGAAGTCACCACCAGGCTATGGGGCATGCATCCAGAGTATAGCTCCACCTCACTGGCAGGCGTGGAACCCAATGTTTCCTACTTGGTAAACAGTCCTGTTGGTCTTCAGGTACAAGGCAGGTGAAAACATCAGGCACCTCTTACTTCCTGTTGTGGGAAATGACAGCAGCTACACTTATTCTCAAAACTGAACCTTGACCTCAATCTGAATCTCTACCAGAAATAATGTAAACTATCAACAGTTAGTCACATAAACTTGAGAGTTCTGAACCAGACTACCCACTGAAAATCACTCTTGCATAGCTGGGTATGATAAGCCTCTCCATGAACTTACCTGAGATGATATCAGTGAGCAAATGCTGAGGCAAGTGGAGAAACTCCTCTGTGCTCTGCAGCTGGGCCAGGTGGGTCTTGGCACAGTGCTTGGCAGCAGTGTAGAGCTCAGGATCACTGTGCCTGTCTGCAAGCCACATCACCTGAAGGCAGTTTCCCACTTGTACTGTGCGTGCCAAAAACCGAGAACATTCCTCAAAGAGAGATGTCAGCTGATACATGTCTGACACCTCATAAATTTCCTGCAGCTCATCAGCTCGAAGTTTCACAGTCCCATGGTATATATAATCAACCAGGAGCTGGAAAACAGACTCACTGACATCTTGTAGCACAATCACTCGGTTGTGAGCCTCCTTCAGGTTAGACGTGAACATGGATCGGAAGAAGCAGCTCTGAGCTGACAGGACCAGCCGGTGGAGCTGAAACTCTCGGCCTTCCACTGAAATGGTGACATCAGCAAAGAGTTCCTCCTCTAAACACAGTTTCATAATTCCCTGAGCCACTCGGCCTGAGTGAGATCGGTCTTTGAAAGTATAGTTCACAAAGTAGTTTTCATCCATGGACGCTCCAGGCTCCTCTGGCGACTCCATAGCAGTCAACTATCTGCAAAGCAATACTGCCCTAAGTATCTGAGTAATCCACAGACATTGTCCATGAACTCAATTGTTCAACTCAAGACAGGAGAAGGAGAAACAGGAGCAAGGTGGGTCTAGACTGGCCTTATTCCTGGTACCGCCAACATGATCTATGTCATTCCTTCACCCAAATTTTCCTGCAGTGGGGCCGCTCCCCCAATGAAATCGATTAAAGTTCTATCTCTACTGTTTTTCCTTGATGGAAAATCAGATACTCCTGATAATGATGTAACAAAAGATTTGGGACTTTGGTCAATTGGTGAAAGAGAAGAGGAGGAAGCCTATTTTAAAAGATTTACTAACCAAATAGTTTGGATATATAACTAGTGAGACTCAGAGGAAGCATGATTAAGCAGCAGCAGAAGAAGAACAACAAGAAGAAGAAAAAAATAAATAAAGCAATACATCCTGAGTTCTGGTGGTTAGACTCTCCTTGCGTGGACATAAGACTGCAGACCCTACGATATGAGGCCTGGGCGTGGACGTCCATCACTTCCATCTTTACTCTTTTCTGAGCTGCCGTTCCCTACTTACCCACTCGCTCCAGTGAGTTCCTAAATAAGCTCCAGAAAGCCCAGCCGTCCCCGGCCGGGGGCACAAGTAAGTCCATAACCCTGTGCAATCGACCGCGCCACCTTGAGTCGCCTAGGAAACGGTCTCCAAGGAAACCGTCGTCTTCTCCTCCCCCTCCCTTATCAAAAGCTCGGGAGCGGGGCAGCGGCGTGGAACTTAGAACCCAGAATGCCCACCCTTTACCTTTCTCTCACCCGTCCGATTCTTTGCTGCTTCTTCTCTTCGGCCTCCGCTGTATCGAGCTAGAGCCACGTACACCTCACGGTTTCCCCACCTGCGGGTCTTTCTTACCTGCGTTACCTCCTTTCATGCCAGTGCCCAGATCCGGAACCTCTGCTTCCCGCCCCGCGTCTGCCCGGAAGAATATTCAGTGCACATTAACACTTCCGGTCCGTGCCCTTGGTGCTCCGTGGCCTGTGTGTTCTTCGTCTTATTTTGTCGGCCTCGTAGGAATATGGCGTCTGCCGCGGCCAGGGTCTGGTGGCGTGGGCTCGGAGGGGTCGCTTCCGTAGCCAGGGGTGAGCAAGGGGGACAGCTGAGACAGCGGCAGAGGCGATCCTAAAACGGAGACCTCTCGGGCCTCACTCGCGCCTTTGTGCCTTTTATGTCTCTGTGCAGGGACTGGACGACCCTCAGTGCTGTTGCAGAGGGTGAGGAGGGAGAGCGCGGCGTCTGATACGCGCCGTGAGTATGTGCGGACAGCGCTTGTCTCACCAACGTTAGCAGGGGTTTTCATTGTTTTGTCAAATGTTTGTCCTTGCTCTGGAATGCTTTTCCTCCTGGGAAATCTCTGCTTGTCCTTGGAGATTGCTATGGTCTCCACCTTGCTGTTAGAATTGAGCACTTCCTGTGCCCTAGATATTTGTTTCCTTCTTATCTTGATTGTCCTTTGCCCGTTTTATTGACTCTTTTTCTCCGATTAAATTGTCAGCTCTTTGAGGGTAGGTAACAAGATTTTTGAGACCCGACCCGAAGTCCATAAATAATAGTAGCTCACATCAATCTAGTACGTACTGGGCACCTTAAGGCTTTGAGCTTTATAGTGAATCATTTCCTTTGGATTCATAACGGCCTCGTGAGGTGCATAGTATTTTACTGTCCATACTATAGATCAGTCCAGATAATTAAAATTTTTCAGTCACAGATCTAGTGAACGACAAAACAAGTCTTAATCGTTAATTCTTTGCCTGTGATGTGTGTGTGCTCAAGTGATCATGTGATTTTTATGTTCAGTCAACAGAATCACATTGGGAAATTGGCTTTCTTTCATTTCTGGACATCGATTTTCTTGTAGATACACAAAGGAACTTGGAGCAGTGTGTGGGCAATGTGAAAATCTTTCTGGGTTCTTCAGTCCTGAAATTCTTTGATTAAGAACTTGGTATAAGCAGGTGCCAATGAGAGAAAGAGAAACAGAAGTCTGAATCCCATCCTTAAAGAGTTCTGAGTCTGATAGAAGGGCTGATACTGTTACTTTTTGTCAAGTACAAGAAATATGAGAAACAGCTGTGAAATAGTGTAGAAAGACCCCCAACTACATAACATAACATAACAGGAGTCTCTGTGTACTGTGAAAGAGAAGTTGTTCCCCCTGTGGTTTTTATTTTTTATTTTTTATTTTTTTTGAGACAGGGTTTCTCTGTATCTTTGGAACTTGTCCTGGAACTAGCTCTTGTGGACCAGGCCAGCCTCAAACTCACAGAGATCCTCCTGCCTCTGCCTCCTGAGTGCTGGGATTAAAGGCAGGTGCTGCCACCACCAGGCTCCCCTAAATTTTGATCACTTCCTAATTCCTGGAAGGTACTTTGCACCTGTGCCTTTAAGAGTCTTCTGGGAGGGCATGGCCCAGCAGCATTTAAGAGCACTGGCTGCTCATCCAGAGGACCCAAATTTAATTCCCAGCACCAACATGTCAGTTCACAACCATTTATAACTCTAGTCTCAGGGGTTCTGACATTCTTCTGTCCTCTTTGAGCAACAGGCACTCATGTGCATAGATATATATGCAGGCAAAACACCAAAACAAAAGTAAATACTTTTTTTTTTTTAAGTTGAAGAGACTTGAGGCAGGACTGGTTGCTACCTTTTTCTTTTATACTCTTTTCTCTCCAGCCACTGTCAGACCACGGACTGATGTGACCCATAAGCAGCTCTCAGCATTTGGAGAGTATGTGGCTGAAATCCTACCTAAGTATGTCCAACAAGTTCAGGTAATACTCACTGTTCTTGGGTCTGGGTCAAGAATCCACCCCATTGTTTATTTCTTCACCTCAAACTAGTGGTTCTCAACCTGTGGGTTGTGACACCCCCCCCCCCCCCGGAGGTCCTGCCCAAGACCCTCAGAAAACACAGATATTTATATTATGATTCATAACAGTAGCAGATATTACAGTGATGAAGTAGCAATGAAAATAAATTTATGGTTGGGGGTCACCACAACATGAGGAGCTGTATTAAAGGGTCTCTCAGCATTAAGAAGGTTGAAAATCTTCCAGGACAGCCAAGGATACACAACAAAATCATATCTCAAAAGAAATCCCCCCAAAACAAAACAAAACAAAAAGTTGAAAACCACTGCCTTAAAACAAGTGACTCCTGCGGAAGCTAGCGACTTCCTCAGTAACTGTTTCTGTTCTCTACACCGCCTTTCCGTGTCTACAGGTGACCTGCTTTGATGAGTTAGAAGTCTGCATCCACCCTGATGGAGTCATCCCAGTGCTGACTTTCCTCAAGGACCACACCAATGCACAGTTCAAATCTTTGGCTGACATGACAGCAGTAGATGTCCCAACTCGGCAGAACCGTTTTGAGGTCAGCTAAATGGGAGGTTTGGGGCCAGGATAGATAGAGCTCAGTTTGTTCCCCAGCATTGCATAAAACTACGTGTACTGGTAGACCTCGTTTCCTAGCACTTGGGGAAGTGAGGGTGGAGGGTCACCAGTTCAAGGCTATCTACAGCTGCACAGGGAGTTCAAGGAAAACTAGGGAATATGAGATGAGATGCTGACTGAAAAACAGGAGAGGTTTGAGAGCTAAAGGTAAGAAAAGACATAGATGATTTCCTGAGTGACAGCTTCTTTGGTCACCAGAGCCTCTGTAGTTTCAGTGTCAAGCTGAGTCACACAGATCATAGCAGAATTTTTGTTGGCTTCCTTCCTTCTTTTAACTTTTTTTCTGTTGATTTGAGACAGGGTCTAACTATGTTGGCCTGGGAACTTTTCAGCTTAGATGATCTTTGTATATCTGCTTACTAACTTACTAAATAGTCACAATGCCTGGCTCTGCTTGATTTAAAAACTTCCTTCCTTCCTTCCTTTTTTTTTTTTTTTGTAGCTATGAAACCAGTCCTGTAATCCTCTAGGCTGAAACCAGGTTGGCCTTGAACTCACAGAGATCCGTCTTCCTCTGCCTTCTGAGTGCACCACTAGCGCCCAACTCTGCTTAATTTTTTTAAAAAATTAAGTTTATGGGGGCTGGAGAGATGGCTCAGTGGTTAAGAGCATTGCCTGCTCTTCCAAAGGTCTTGAGTTCAATTCCCAGCAACCATATGGTGGCTCACAATCATCTGTAATGAGGTCTGGTGCCCTCTCTGGCCTGCAGGCACACATGTAGGCAGATATTGTATGCATAATAAATGAATAAATTTTTTTTTATGAATAAATATTTTTAAAATATTAAGTTTATGCTGAATAAGGTGGCACATTCACATAGCACTTGGGAGACAGAGGCATGCAGATCCCTGTGAGTTTGAAGCCAGCCTGGTCATAGAACAAGTTCCAGGACAGCCAGATGCTGTCTCAAAAAAATATACATATAAATGTTATACATATGTGTGTGGGAGGCATTGAACATACAGGCTATACTTGCTAGTCAAGCACTCTACCATTGAACTATATCCACAGCTGGGGATTTGGTTATATGGTTCAAAAGAGGATCTTTTGGGCTGGAGATATGGCTCAGAGGTTAAGAGCACTGACTGCTCTTCCAAAGGTCCTGAGTTCAAGTCCCAGCAACCACATGGTGGCTCACAATCATCTATGAGATCTAGTGCCTTCTTCTGGCCTTCAGGTGTACATGCAGGCAGAATACTGTATACATAATAAATAAAATCTTTTAAAAAAACGAGGATCTTTTGTGGCTGGCCTTTTTCTGTTAGCTGGTAAAGTTATAAGATCATACAATATTAAAATAGGAGAGGCATACCTTTAATCCTAGCACTTGGGAGGCGGAGGCAGGTGGATCTCTCTGAGTTCTAGGCCAGACTAGATTACAAAGTGAGTTCCAGGACAGCTAGGGCTACACAGAGAAACCTATTTTGAAAAAACAAAACTAAACAATAAAGACTGATGCTCTCACCCAGACCTCATCCTATAGCTACCTTGTTCCTCTAGTTTTTTCTCTCCCTAGGTTGTCTACAACCTGCTGTCTCTGCGCTTCAACTCTCGGATCCGTGTGAAGACCTATGCAGATGAGCTGACACCCATTGAGTCCATAGTCTCTGTGCACAAGGCAGCCAACTGGTATGAGAGGGAGGTGAGTTATTGGTTGTAGTGGGCCCTGCCGCTGGCCAGAAGCACAACAATTGTTTGTAATTATAGGGTGTGATGCCGGAGAGCTGTTCTTTTCTAGGTCTGGGACATGTTTGGAGTTTTCTTTGTTAACCATCCTGATCTAAGAAGAATCCTGACAGACTATGGCTTCGAGGGACATCCTTTCCGGAAGGACTTTCCCCTCTCTGGCTATGTTGAGGTAGAAACCTTAAAACTGGGATAGCAGCCATGGAGCACGATGGGAATACGATCTGTAGCTTATGATGGTGTAAGAGCCTGTACTGCAACCCAAATTTTGTTTTATTTTTTTAATGTGAGGCAAGTTATTTGATTTTGCCTTGAGACAGTTTTCTTTTCTTTTATGTTTTTTTTTGTTGTTGTTGGTTTTTTTGTTGTTTGGTGTTTTTTTTTTTTTTGTTTTGTTTTGTTTTGTTTTGTTTCTTTCAAGACAGGGTTTCTTTGTAGCTTTGGAGCCTGTCCTGGAACTAGCTCTTGTAGACCAGAGCTGGTCTCGAACTCATGGAGATCTGCCTGCTTCTGCCTCCCGAGTGCTGATATTAAAGGTGTGCGCCACCACCGCTTGGCTGAGACAGTTTTCTCATCTACATAATGGAAAAAT